TCTCCTTGGGACTCAGTTTAGCAATCTGTGAAATGGGAGGTTTGTCAAATCCTAATAACATAAATGACTTCGGTCATATCCTGACTGACTGTCTGTAAACATGTACCAGCAGCCCTCAGTAATAAAGGCTTTGCCCTCACAACCCACTGAATCACTCCACAGTTACTGAATTGAGCACTTGGATGCATTTTAATCTCCATRCCCGATGATGGCATCCATTTGATTGCTGCCACATTTGCTAAAGCAGGTGGTATCATAAACACACCCCACTTACTCAGAACACTTCAGAGCAAAAGGCTTTAAAATTAAGAGGCAATATGAGTTGAAAACATGCCAACTTCTAGTCCATAGCCTATCATGCAAGCTGATCCCTCCCATCATAAAAAGTGTGCTTTTTCCCCCAATCATTTATAGGAAGGTATTTTTCTACCTTAATGACAATGGCAATCATTAGTAGCCAAGCAGGTAGAACAGATCTCCTGGGCTGGATGCAGCACAGAAACTGCTCCGTTCCTCTGCCCCAGAACAGATCCCTCAGTGCAACAGAAAGCTGAAGAGCAGCTGGCTCTGTGCATCATTAATCACATGTTAGGTATTCTCACGGGCTAAACCTCCACCCCTGGATTCTCCTCTCACCAATAAATGGCGATTGACAAAGTTTAGTGTTCTAGCAAGGACAGGTGTGTCAGTGAAGACCAGAGTGCTGATAAAAACAGGGGTCTGGACAGTATTTTAAACCCCTTTACCTGAGCTTGGGCTCAAGCAATATCCCAAACTTTTTTTTGCACTGCAGGAAAGAAGGAAATTTGTTGCATTGAATCTGATTCCTCAAACCATACCCCTCTTTTAAAGCTTTTGGGGCCTAACCCTTGTGTCTACGCCAAGAGTGGATTTAATTCCACTACATTTGTTTTCCACACYGAGAAGACAATCCTTCCCCTTCCAGCCTCTGTACTTGTCCTGACCCCTGAGCTGTGTAGTGCAAATCCATCTAATACYTTCTTCAAGTTTGGCAGTAAGTTATTCCTCTGAGTATGATGAGCAGCTGAAGCCCAGGGTGAGACATTCCCAGCACGCAGTATCCACTCCCTGCTCCCCAGGAGCCACAGGAGATTCATTTCAATGGAAGCAGTTAGGATCAAGGATCATTGACCACTCCTGTAACTCTCATATCAAATGAGAGGAAAAGCAAGRAGTGYTGTTCCTCTGTTGCAYGCATCCACTGTCACAAAAGCAGTTYCCAAAATTGTCAAGCTCMATCTTAAAACTCTCGACTGCTTGTCCCCAGATGCCCACAGAAACTAATTTGAGACCCTGAGCATGTTATAATTCCCTCCTTTTATTTATTCATCACCAGTTGACACACTTTTCTTCTACAGACTGTGTCTAAAAAGTATTCTGTGATTCTATTTTCCCTTTATGATTACTGACAAAAAATATATCCCCAACCAACCTCTGCTTTACCACCTTTAACAAACCCTTTTTTTTTTCTCCTGTAAGTTGAATTCTCAGTTCCCAGGGTCAACTTCTCTGCTCCTCTTTCAGATTAAAAAACCAACTTTTTTGAATATGGGTGACCTTATTCATGCATAAAAATCTAGACTGCTGTCTTTACAGGCAAATAAAAACTTCCCTGTTTTCACCTGAAATAACCCAACTTGTACATGGCACTGTTACACTTTCTGTTTCTCTGCWCTCACACTGGTAACTCACAGTCATTCCAGGAGCAATTAATACACCTGGCTTTTCCATCCTCTACCATTTGGAACTGATAAGATCCCATAATAAGCAGAAATACCCAGTGATGCCAGGGAATTCTGTTTTTCTTCTGCTTAGAATGCCTCTCATCTTTTACCCTGTATTTTAAATTGAAAAAGGCTACAGGAAAACCCCTCCTTGAGACAAACCCCTGCCCACCCCATGTGTGCAGGTCCTTAGAGGACTGAAAAGCTGCTCTGTACTGGTGGGACAGAGCTTTAGGAAGGTTTCTACAGGAGTGAATCAGTTATACTCACAATATGTAGGTGATGACTCCTATGCTCCTGAAAAACAAAAGACATTAATTGCAGGGGTTCTAAATCACTAGTATTCTTCTTAATGTGCAGAATACACAAAAGGCAACAGCAGCTGCAGTAGAGGCAGGAGAGCCATTGTGGCTTTAGATAACTGCTAACACCTCTTACAGAAAGGGGCTTCAGGAAAAAAAAATTACACTTAACATCAAGTAATGTGTGTATTTGAAGTCTCTGTGTATTTTTACTCTAGTGGGTACTTACTACAGTACATAGAAAAAACAAAGGAACAGAAGCAAGGATGTTTTATKTGGGGTGACCTCTTTTTTCTGCCTTCCCAGCAGACAACATTAGTAGGCAGGTCTCCTCTGCATGAAGTGCTCTTATAAATAAAGCTGTCACAAGCTCTGCAGGAACGTGTTTCCTTCTAAGAGTGCTCCTCTGCAGTGGACACTGACAAACACTTAACTCTGAAACTGCCATCACTCCAGATTTTCATTGTAAATTGGCAGGATTTAAACGCTTATCTTTYAATTAAAAAGAATACATGAAAATGGAATAACAGAACTAAGAGTTATTAACTGTATTTAAGTTCTCTTGTTTTGTTTTTCATTTATTGCAGTGCAATGGATTCTATGAGGGGCAAAATAGGAAAAAGTAATTGTAGAGCAATGTGGAAGAAAAAATGCAAACAAATTAGAAAACTTACCACATGTCTGCAGCTAGTCCAAGTGGTTCATAGTTTACAATTTCTGGAGCTGTAAGAAACATTTAGTCAAACATCAGCAACCAATTTTTACCAGGCTGGAGTAGCAGGCCAAGAATTACCAAGAGGGAGAAAGGGGGAGAGGGAAAAGTTAGTTACAGAACACATTGTTTATAATTTTATAGCCCAAATAGGAGTTCAAGTTCACAGCTGTTCAGAAAAGATTATGTAGAGTAACTTGGAGCATAATGCAAMTCAAGAATAAGGGTAAAGCAGGCATTATATAGTAATTATAGTGCAAATTACAACAAATAACAAATTATTTCACCTCCTAAGAATGCTGTTGCCCCTAAGCATGAGCTTTTGTTTTGTTTTTTTAACTGGTGCCATTATATCAAGTTTGTAAAGGCCAGTCAGAAAGAGCCCTTGAGCAAGAGATTGAAATTACTTGCCAGACTACATTGCTATCCACGTCAAACYCTATTATCTTTATAAGAAACATTTCCTCATTGGAAAACATCCCCATGTAACACTGCATGCAAGAGAAAAGAGCAAGGGTGAAATAAGTTGAAAAAAATTAACTCTGACAGCTGTGTTTAACTGGAATATTAATTACAATTCTCTGGCCATGCCCCAAACCAACCCCAAAACAGAAACTAGTAGAAAGGAGTAAGATTAACCTAAAATCCAAGCAAGACAGATTAGAATTACGACCAGTGAGGAACAAAAAAGAGAACCAGACGGATAAATATAACAGGAGGTGAGGGTGCTCAGTAGGTGCACAGTGTGAGTTGGTTTTATTTAGAAAGCAGTGACAGAGGTACCCATGTAATTGTGTGCTCGTGTACCACAATGCAGGATCTATCTATCCCAGGTGACAAGTAAAAAGATTATCATTTGTATTTGCAGAGTTTCACAGTCTCAATCCTGAATTTACATCTCTAAACATTTCTCRGCAGCAGCCTACTCTCACAGGAGTAGCACACCTGGTTTACAGAAAGCACTTTGCCTATTCTAGCAAAATAAACCWAGATTTAAGTGACCTTAAGAAGAAATAAGATAGAAACTATTTCTATCCTTCAATTAGTAATTTGACAAGATGTCTCGACTTCCTCTGGATTTTGCAGTACAAGACAAAGGAAATGTCACTCACCTACAAATTCTGGAGTTCCAAATATGTTTTTAAATTCAACCCCATCTTCTATTTTGTGAGCCAGGCCAAAGTCAATGAGTTTGATGTGGGGAATAGGAATATTCTTGTCTAGAAGCATAATGTTTTCAGGCTAAAAATAACAAAAGATGGATCTATGTTATTAAAATATTAATATCTTGGAAAGTAACAGAGTTTTGAAGTGCTTTTTTTTCTTTTGCATATAAAATGCCATAGAATAAGAAGCACATACCAGTGCTTAACCATTTAGAGTTCTTTTGATAAAGGTAGCAGGTGCTGGAAGCAGTTCAGGTGTCTGGTGCAGACAAAAGCAGTTCAGGTGTCTGGTGCCACAGCCTGACCCTGAGCGAGAACTGCAGAGTTCAATATTTTTGCTGACAACAAATTTACTGATCTGTTCTTGGAATTTACACTTCACAGTATCTGGTCAGTTGACTCTATACTGTATTGTAACCCAGTGGAAGATGTATTGTTAAATGCTGAACCCATTTTGGGAAAGAAAAATCATCTTTTCTATGAGAATAAATTCACAGATGCAACAAAGCCAGGAAATATGCAGGATTTACCAGCTGGACAGTCCAGAAAATGGGAAGAGTTGGGATCAGAGGTCCTAGATCATATATAATAGCAAACTATTAAAAGAACACGTGGCATTCCTCTTAGCATTGTAAGAAAAAGCTGAAGCTTGAACTGCAAAAACAAAACTAGTGTGCTCAACCACAGACTTTACTTTTTTACCAGATAAAATGTATTTCATAAACTTCTTTGTTCAACTAAATTTCTCGGGCTCAGCTACTCCCTACCATGGTCCAAATTCACAGGTTTCAGAGTAAACGAAGGGTTCCATTTATCTCCCTTGATGAGCTTTAATGCATTATTCTGCCATAACTTAATCATAACCAGGGCAGCAGTGAGTCTGATTCCCTGCCTGGCTTTTCCACAGCACATCCCAAGGTGGAAGTTGCTCCTGCTAGCACAAGCTCTCAGCTCTGCACTGGGAAAGAGAGTGTATGAATAATTCATTGTCATAGTCATTGGAGCAAGCACGTTTTAGCCTCAGGGTAACAACTCTGTCTTTCTGCCTTGGATCTAGGGCATACATGCTCACCACAGATACATAATGTAAGATTCTTTAAAGCATGCAGAACAGACTGAAATGGAATRAAGTCACAGTCACTGCCTCTTGGAGGACTGTTTATTCCTCAGGTGCTATAAAYCACTGTAGCTCCACTGCAGCCAATGGAGCCCTGGCAAGTGATGAGATCATGATGAAATATCCTCTATCTAATCAGATCATTGCTTAAAAATACAAGTCTAATTTAACACTTGCCAAACTCCACACCCAGTACTTTAAAGTCCAGGAGAGTTATTAAGTGAATCTATATTAGGATATTTGATAGTCACTATCAGTGAAATGATTCTTTACTTATTCTTTACTTTTTTACTGCTTTTTGGTTTCTATCTTGCAATTCTTGCAACATCTTCATTGACTATCTGGCATTACTGGTGTTAAATATCAAAATTAGCAGCTAGAGATCAGCCAAAGCTTAAATCAGCATCTTTACCTTTAAATCAAAGTGAGCAATTTTCTTAGAGTGCAGGTAATTCACACCATCCAAAATCTGTTTGATGAACCTGGTTGCTTCCTCTTCACTCAAGGACTCCTTCTGTGCCAGAAAGTCAAAAAGTTCTCCTCCAGAAACCCTGCAAAACACACAGAAAACTTTCCATTATCTGCTGCACCATAATCCATAAAACACAGAAAACTAAAGCAGCAAAGAATCTCAACGCAGTTAGAAAAATTCTGCTCCTGCAGACAATCATGGGTTTTGTGTTCTAGTCCCTGGTGTGCCCAAACTTCCTTTTGGCTTCAGCTCTCAACCTGTAAATTAAGGACTAGATTTTCCATGGATGCTGCATGGACCACAAAGGACCAAACACRATACACTGTTTGCTGAATCCACAGCCAGGTACCACTTTCAATAYGTCGACTTAACTACTTCAACTGCTGCTTTTCAAACTTTTGTTTTTTATCAACAGCTTGTCTCAACAACTGCTAAAGAATTCTCTTAGCAGTTGCCATCAGAACCTGAGGTAGTACAGTTTGCCAAGAGAATCTCTTTTCTTTCCAGGACAGCCCTTATCCTGTTCTAATGAGAGTCTTGCCTGACAGAGCTAACAAGAAAGCATTTACTTGGTGCTGAATTTTTTAAGAAGAAAGCAGATTTTAGCAGGCTGGAAGGCATCAAAAAAGAGTTTTTCCAAATCAGGCAAGTGCTCTTAGTTACGATGGGTTTTCACATCAAAACTGAAATACATTCTATCCTTATTAGTATATAAGACTTTTATTTTCATTTCTGTGCCTTTTCCTGAGACTTCCAATGCTATTTTTCTGATCTAAGTATTGAATTAGGCATTATTTGCAGCTGTTATGCATAATTGTGCTTACATTTATTGTTTYGAGTTCACACTGTGATAAATATCATTGTTTCATTCTCATGCAGGTTCACTGTTGGGGGCACCCACAAAACAGTTTTGATACTCTTGGGTGCTTATACTGCTGGTGCACCACCTGTGCTCAGAGTGCAAGGACCTGAGAGACCCTACAGTCATGTGGAAAACAAGCTCTTGGCCCTGTTGGCTGATGAAGGAGCTGTCAAAGCACTGGCAGGTCAAATGCTTTGAGTTCCTCAGGTGCTGTGACTCACAGAKGAGTCAGATCACACTGGGTGCTCAGAGGTCTTTGGGGAACCACTCCTCTGACCCCAGGCTCCTGCACCACGCTGGTGGTGACAACAGGGTGATTCCCTACTCTGCCTCTTTCTGAGGAAACTGTTGTCAACAGCCACAAAACCTGCAAGGACAAGAACAACATGTCAAAAGCCACAAAGACCTTGGGTCTGTGTCTTAGCTTCCCCTGCTGTTGCTGGAGTGACAATGTGCCTTGTTGTTCCAGAGACTTACACRGGCCATACCGCTGTGCCATTGATTACTGGATATTTTTTTCACACCTCTCATGTAGTCAGAAATTTTTCTAAGCAATGTAAGGCAGGACTCTTCACCTGGGTAGAGGTCCCTTGATGCTTTGTTACAGCTAAAAGGCTGGCAAACAAAAATAAGCTTTTATGACCCAGAAATACATTGCAACTTCTGTCTTAGGCTGCCATCTTCTTCTTCATAATAATCTCAATTATTCAACCTGTGAGACTCTTGATCACTTGATTTTCTTTTCTGGGTGACAACTACTACAAAAGGTCTAAGAATTTCTGAAGCACTAGCATCAGCCTTTTTGGACAGGTTTTGTTGTACCCTGTTCATTTCAGGAGAGAGGGAACACTGTCTCCTTTCCATAGTGTAGTAGTTAAGAGGCCTTGGTTCAATAATTTAACAATTATTAGAGCCTMCTGAGACAAACCAGTAAAGAAATCTGTAAGAAAAACCTGGTGGTCTCTTGGTGAAATCTGTGTCCAGTGAGCAGGCGAGTCCCATTTATTTAATGATTTCTATTTGGAGTGCACTTAAGCAATCACCTCTGGCAGACACTCCATCCGGCCATCAGGAAGCCAGCTGGACCGGGTATGTTCTAGTCCTTTTCTGGAATTTAACCATTTAGGCACACTGCTCTCTCTTCCTCTTTTACCCAGTAAAACCTCCTTGGTGACTGTTTCTTAAGGTGGACTCTCGAATCTCTCTGAGGCCAGAGGACAGCCCAGGTAGCCCAGTCCTGCAGAAGCAGGTTCCACTTCAGGAGAGCTCACAAGCTGAGCCACTTTGGAAGAGCCGCTCTGCTCATCCTCCTCTGGCACGGAGGACTGCACTGAGGATATTTGAGGATACCTTCCTGCTTGGAGGAGACTGCAACTCCCTTCACAGGAACCTCCTTTACTACAGAAAGCAATGTCAGAAAATGGTTCAGCTGCCCAGACTGGAGCTACTTAATTCCCATTCCCTCTTGCTGCCTCTGAGAGTGGGCACTTTAAGCAGCTGGGTGAGCTGCTCAGGGACCACCAGGGAGTTTGCTCCAATGGCAACCTCAACAACATCCTGGGCAACCTCAACAACATCCTGGGCACACAGCTATGCCCAAGGCATCACTGAAGCAACTGCAGCCTGCAAGAACAAGGAGCACAGGACATTTACTTGAGAGCTCTTTGGTGCATTTTCCCGCTGCTCTCCAGTTCACAGTAACCTTGAATCAGGCTAGGGAGGGGGCTTTCCAATACAACATAAAAATAAAACAGGGAAAAAAAAAAAAATTCTGAGAGCTTGAAGCCTCTTTGTTACGTTATCAGCAAAAGACTTCCTTCTACAATAGCCACATGAGCATTTCACTTTCTGAAGATCAGAGATGGGTATACATGAAAATCAGTATATCTCCAGACTCTTGAGGTATAGCCTCACACATCAGTCTAAACTGTAGAGATCTTAAAAGAGTAATCTAAAGGAAAATTCAGTAGACATGTGAAGATTTCTCATKAACAAAAGACTCAGGCTTTAAAACCAGTTTTCTGGGTAAATTGTACCCATAGTGGTAAGCAGTTTATTACAAGATCATTCTTATCCAGGTTATACACCCGAATTAAGAGCAACCCTCAAGAAGAAGAGATTTAGCAGTCCCAAAGGCCAGCCATTATGGAATCCCAGGAAAAAAACACACTTCAGCACTAATTCCCTTGCAGTGAAACACTCACAACTGYATCAAGCTACATTTGAACATTCAGGGAGGTATGTTAGCTAAAACACCACCTGCAAATGCTCATTTCTCAACTGTTACAGAATTCCTTCCTCTGGGTCCATCTCTTTCCCTTTTACTATGTTGCCTTAATAACATGGCAAGGACACAAAAAAAATGATACCTTTACTTTTCCTTCAATGTGCAATAAAAGACAAATGACAACACTGCCTTACTTCTTGGATGGAGCGTTTTTTGTGTAGAGGAGACTGAATCCAATCTGCCTCAGGGCTGCTTCTGTTTGGGCAAAGCATGCTCCAAGCAGGGATATGAGACTCTGAGAGCAGGGTGACAGAGGGGAAGAGATTATCTATTTACAGAGAGAATTTAATTATGTTTATTAGCAATTATCATCATCCTCAACTTGTAGACAGCTGAACGCAGAGGCCTTAATCAGGACAAAACGCTGTTGCACCCACACTTTTACAAAGTGCAATATGTTACAGCCTGACAGAAGGACACATAAAGTGTGTCAGGCCATGTGAGGACAAGAAAAAGCACTGAGGCAATGAAATGGTGCTTGCTTTACCCCAAGGTGGACACTAGTGAGAAAGAGCAAGCTCCTTCCCTGCCTKCCAGAGCTTGGCTACAGCAACCAGCATTTGGCCACAGACACGTACTTCAGAGTTAACAGATGCTCATCATCACTCATATGCCACCTTCCAACAGTCCCAATAATGTCCAGGAATGCTCCCTGACCTAAATGCTGGCTCCCCTAGAAAGCTCACTGAGGGATAAAAGCCTCATTGCCAGGATTCCATCCTTGAGGTCCAGGCTGGTGTCCTAGGGAACATGTGGTCTACACAACTTCAATCAYGGTGATTGAAGTCATCAAGACTCCACATACACTGAAAAATTGTATMATTTTGCATGTAGGGGTGAGGAGGTTCACCTGTCAGCAGGATCTAAATGGCAGGGGTTTGCCCCCCTCACACAGCAGCACAAGAGTAAGCAGCTTTCCCTCATTCCCATTCTGCTGCTATTCATGCTGAACAGTCAAAGCGTAGGGATTGATTTAAAAAACCTTCTTCCCTGGCCATCTTCCCCTCGCTCGCCTAAATGAGAAAAATATGGAATAGTGAGAATGGCTGCAAATTTTACAAGAGGCTTGAAGGCCACACATGTATTGAAAGAGATGAAAGCAGGAAGAAAAATGAAATAAACATCCAGTGGCCATTTGTACTTCCTCCAAGGTTCATGTCAGGGCAGCCCCAGGCCGACATGAGGTAATCCCTCTGTTAGTAAACTGTTTTCAARTTGACAAGAGTCCCTGGCTCAGTATCAAATGACTGCAGCTGATGTTCAGGTGCACCTGTATCCCCAGGGCACATGGATGGACTGGGGGGCCTGTTTACCACCAACCTCACTCAATGCTCCTGCCAAATTTGTGAAGCCTGAGAATGCAGCAGCTCCATTTATCAGTGCCCCTGTGCTGCAGCAGCCTCTGCAGTCCTCTCTGGTTTCTATTGACCTCAGCCATCCCCGGAGGGAAGTGCCCCTACTCACAGCTCCAGGATGAGAACCACGTCWGTCTTGTTCTCGTAGATGTCATGCAACTTGACGATGTTGGCGTGCAGGATCTGCTGCAGGATGGTGACCTCGCGCTCGATCTCCTCCCGGCTCACCCCGCGCCGGCTGGCCCGGCTCTGGCGCTTCTTGATGAACTTGGCAGCATATTCCACACCTGTGCTTTTCTCTCGACATTTCTTCACTATGGCAAACTGGCCACTGCAAGGACAAGGAGAACAAAAACGCTCTTAAGGCTTTGGTATAATCACAGCTTCCCAAAGAAGCCTGTCYCATACAAAGCCTGATCCTGCAAGCCCTGAGCAGCACTGCTAAGCTCTACTAAGCTTGTTCTTGGTACAAGAGCGAGGACCMTCAGGACTCTGCAGTCAAAAGCAGTAGAGCATAACAAGGTAGTCTCCTCCTCTGTCTGAAACTTAGCAAAACTAAACAACATCTGACAAAAGGGAGTTACAATCTCTAAAAAACAGTTCATGTTTAAATGAATAAGATCTGCCTCAAAAGGTTCAAGTTACCACTCCTTCACAGAGTAATGCTTAAGGCATTGAAGTCTGCAACACATCACTGGGTGTTCTGAAAGGACACACACACACATAAGAATATCTGCCTTAAGAATAGCAACTAGGGAAGAACTCAAAGGAATGATAATGTTTTGGAAATGCAAAATTGTCCTCCAGTAACCAATTTTCAAATTTAAAAATAGTTTATTCATATTTATGCAYATGCTTGACAATTTAGCTGTAAACACAACTAGAGTGAGTGCAGGTTTCTCACTACCCCTCAAGGATAAAGAATTTCCCACTGTGCCGAATACTACAGTGGCTGCATTAAGATTAAAAGGCATGTACTTGCAATTTGCTAATAAAATTTTCCTGTGGCTCCTAACGTAGTCTAACTGCAAAATTCCTCCTTACCTCCTAAGAATTGGCAGATATCCAGTCCCAGAAYGCACATTTAGTATCAGATATTTCCTTATTCAGGGCATTATATCAAGACTTGGAAGGAAAAGACTCATCTTACAGGTAACCTTAACCCTTAGCTCCTGTGATTTTAGCAGACAGGATTGGTTTATAAGAATCACAAACAAACTTCTTAAGTGCATCCCCATGACTACACCGTATAAGCACTGAGCTGTTGCTGTTTTCAATATTATTGTATYATTCACTGGCCTGGCAAATGTGAAATGCAAGTGCAGTTGGAATTTAAATTATGCAGCATACACAGCAATTATATTCAGCACCTCATTATATGCTGCACTTAGTACTTCATCAACACAGACATTTGATTGGAGTCTGTCTTAAACCTACAAAGGAGAAGAAATTAAAAATTAAGGCTGTCACTTAGTGCTCAATTGCTCTCAAAGGCTCACACCCCATGGCAGAGGCAGTCTCTCCTTTCAAAGAGTTCAAACAAGTGCCAGGCAGGCTAACATACTTCTTTTAGGTTTTCATTTTCAYACATATCCTAAACACTTCTCAGGAGAGAGGCAGCAACAGATGGGACAACTGTACTTATCCCTCTAGGAATAATCAGTCACAAATGCAATCAAGACTATGGCCATTTGTCATATGCATTAATTGATTCGTATTTCTCCTGACTTTATCATTACCTGCACACCATAGAGAAATTCCCAYTACAAAATCCCCTAACTTGTCTTAAACATTCTGCTAGAAGAGTTTGTTTTGTAGTGCTGAGACCTGCTTGTGTAAAATATCAAGGGTTTCATGCTTTTCTTSTTTGTTTGATCATATTTTGCAAGACATGCATTTTGCTTGGTCCCGACTTTCTGGAGAAATGTGATATTAATGTTTCTGTGCTTATTTCCTTGAATTCTCTCTGGGGACAAATTCTGTCAGTTTGGGAGAAAATATTTTTTTTTATGAGGGTTTATTATGGGAACAAACACAGCCACTTCTGCATTTAGAAATTCCAGTGATACTGTGGATTTTGTACATTTCTGTTTATGCAAAAGCTTACAAAAGAAATAATGACACAGCATAGGAATTCCTGTCTTCTYCTTTGACATAAATAATTGTCCCCAACTAGAACTATCACAATACAAATTCCTTTGCAATCTACTATTGTTCCCCTGCACGTGTGGCCAGGAAYACACACTGTTCCTGCTCCTGTCCCAGCCTTCATGCCATTGCCTATATCCCTTAAAAATAGGCTCTTGCAGACAAGTGTTTACTAGAGACTGTTTGTGATGAGCAGAAGAGGTTGCAAGCCACAGGGAACAACACAAATGCACAATTTCTTAGCGTGGGACATTTAAGACAGTTCCAATGCAATTACCAATGAACAGCTCATGGAGGCCCATTCAGCTATGAAACAAGAGGATGCCTCACTGGCATTTTACAATCAGACACACTTTGGATATCKCATCAGCTACAGAGATTGTCAGGTCAGGACCAAGACTATTTTTGTGCCTCCTCATGCATCTGCATTCAGCAATAAGAATGAAACAGTGCCAGCTTCCAAAACTTTTGATCTAGGCTAGGAAAAAAGTAGAAGAAAGGAAATTATRGCTCCCTGACACCTAAGTTAACAGGCCTGAGAAATTAAGCCATTTAGATAATTTCACATAGGACATTTGTGCCTGATCTTAGTTTTGAAATTAATTTCACAGCTCAGATGCTCAAATTTCATCCARAAGACCTTGCTAGAATTCATGGGGTTTAGTACATGGCTGAAATGAAGATGACTTGGCTCATGAACAGCAGTATTTACAACACACACAGGATAAGCTCAGAGGCTGACACTTCTGAATGGAGCCTACCTGGACCTCAGTAAAGCYTCTGAYACTGTCTCCCACAGCACTCTGGAGAAAGTGACTGCACATGGCTTGGACATTCATCTTCAAGATCTTTCCCAACATTAATGATACTATGATTCCCAATTTTTTAAAAAAATACTTTTTTTCAAGAAGTTACATTTGTTCCCTTCCAGAAATATTCTGGACAGCTGCACAACAGCCTTGCTACACCATGAGCATAGGCTGTCCTGAACTGTGGAAAGAGCTCATGAGTATGAACAAYAGCAGCTGCATCCTGTCAGTTATAATATAATTAGGTACAACATCAAATCTGCCCCTCATTAATGATGGAATTTATGCCAGCAATGAAGACAACCTATTATTTGCATTGCTCCTAGCATGTAGGAGGTTTGTCCCTGAATAAGAACACAGAGACAATATTACTGGGTGGTTKTGCAGTCTATTTTCAGAAGCATGCTTTAGGAGGAGCACAAGWGCAGCTCATTTAATCATTGTGCACTTCAGGAGAGGATGTGGAAAGGATGTGGGAAGAGAGAAGCTGGACAATCTGGAATAACAGGACAGCTTCTCATCTTTGTCAAAGCTTAATGCAGGTTCTGGAGGGTAATGCTGTGGGGCACAATGTTGCTTCAGTGCAGGAGCAGGGCAGCTGCCAGTCTGGAATGCCCCAGTGCCCAGCRCTGCTGCTGCTCCACAACTTTAGAATAAAGAGAGCCTTTGAGCAAGTGCTTGCACAGGGATTGGTTTATTCCAGTCTTCTTCCAATGGTCCTGAAACACTGCTCAGGAGCAGTCTCAAAACGCTGCAAATATGTAAACAAAATACTGACAGGACAGTACAGGTTACCTGACTCCAGTCAGCCTTTCTGAGGCCCGACTGGGGAGAAGTCAGAAAGCTGATTCTGTTTGTCATTTGAGAAGAGCAAACCACTTCTTMCCCAAATACCAAACATATGCTCCCTTTCAGCATACTCAGTCTATTTCTTTATGTCCTGTTCATATTCAACTTCATTTAATTCACTAAGGAATTATAAAAACTATTATTATTATTATTACTACTGTTATTATAATTATCATCATTAATCTTAATTTTATTATGTAGTTGTTAAAACTTGAAATTCCCATAAAAGACATGATAAATGTGAACACATTGACAGATACACTTTACACTGAAATATGTTTTCAACAAGTTCTTTGAAAAGTAAATGAACCTGGCAAAGGACAGTGCTGTGGCATTCTGCCAGTCAAAAGGTGACACAACTCCCTGTACGAGCCAGGACAATTTACTCAGGAACAGATTTGCAAGGGATTTTAGGCAGCCTCCCACTGACTTTTACAGTAATTGGGTTCCTACACACTTGATGAAAARTAACACCTTAGTCCTTCTATATGTAATTTCCCCAAGTCAGTAAAATGCTGGTAATGCTACTGGAAAATGAAATAACATTATATGGGGTAAGGATACAAATTAATTTCATGTCTCTAGGTATCACCAGAACTGCAATTATAATCATTCATGTTTTATTCACTAGGTGTTCCTGCACAAGAATACATGACCTGAAAGGAAGCTAAAATAAAATCTAATAGCATCTCAACCAGTTTTTAACTGCTTAAATTCAAAGGCAGACTACTGTGAATGCATGATAGTTTAAAAATACTAAAAATATATTTGAAATCATCATGTGTACGTGCTTGAGTTAACAGAAAAACATAACCACATAATATAAACATAACCACAATAATACTGTTTAGCCAACCTGAACACAGGGTTTCTCTACATTCAAGGCTGGTGTGTTTAGTGCAGCAAAGAGGGTAATCCATTCTCAGTTACAGCAATTGTTATTATGTCAACAGTTTTGTTCATCATGCCTTTTTGCCACTATTAAATCTGGATTGGTTTTAACTGGTCATCTCAAGCTTAGAAAGTCTGCATCTTATTATTTTTCCATCTTTTCCACTCCTATTTCTATTTCTTGGAAAAAAAATACACTAATAATCGTATCCATTTACGGTTATATTTTTTGCTAACTTTAAAGCAAAGCCCTGGAGAACTCTTGCCGAATTTGAGGACAACATTTTTTTTTCAGGCTTTTTTTTTTTTTTTTCAAGTGATTAGAGGAATTCTCTACTGTAGTTTTATTAAACAAAATACTCTCCTCCCTCTTTGCTTACACTTGAGAGATGACTTCTGCTATTTGTGACTGCACTGCATACTCTTCCCAACAGAGAGGACAGGAGTCTGCTGGGAACAACACTGACAATCCATTTTTATGYTTTCAGTTCATTTATGAAATACAGCTCAACCAAAGGCCATGCAAGGTTCACAAAATATGTACATGAAAGCACTTTGCTGGAGGGTTTTTGCAGGAAGTCTGTGGTCACARCTATAAAGATGCAGAAGCCTTCTATAAATGACAATAATTTGC